GTCAGTTTCTGTAGACTCAGTCTCACTGTCGGGCATGCCACAGTCCTGATACTGAAAAGTCCAAAGTCCTGACACAGCACACCAGACAGTGAACAGTGACTATGGTCCTTAATCTGAACCCACTAGATTTTTTGCTCTGTTCAAGCTGGAGCCCACATATGAAAGACACCAAAGTCCACACACCATTGACGTTTGAAACCCAGCCCACTTATGAAATGTGACACTAACACTAAAATTTCAATCACACCACAGTTTCACCAGCTCACACAGAACCTGCAGATTCCCTGTGAACCCTGGGATGCCACCGTTTCACTAACCGGGTCCAGAAAGAGATTTAATCTCAGCTTTCAGTACTTCACGGGTTTTTAGACTTGCAACTGAAAATACCAAACTGCCTCAAAGTCTAAACTGGTTTTACATCATGACCAGGGCTTTTCTCTTCCACACATCAAACATGGCAAACCTCTTGTAAAACCAACTTTGCCCATGTGAAATTATCCGTTTCCAGCCACACATACAAAGGTTTTCCATCAGCGCCACAGCAGGTGGTGTCTATGCACATGGACATAAACACATGTGGAAGTTCAGCCCACTAACAGTGAAGCAGCAGCACAGACACAGTTGTCCACACATTGGGGATCGGAGGCAAAAATCTAACTTGGGAGCTCAAAATGAGGCAGATGAGAATTATTCATAACGACCATGTCTGTGTAGATGACCGTCAGGGCCAAGGCTCAGTAATGAGCTGCAGGAATATGCACGGCATGTTCGCTCTCGGCCCACAGTGAAAAATGACATATGGCAGGCCAAGATGTCCACCATCACACACTATTAACCATTTAGGATCCGAGTCCCCGCTGGTGATAGGCCTGTCCTGATCCTGACCTTATTAACAAAGCCCCTCAGAGGCACATTAAAGCCAACAAAATGCAACGTTTACTGCAGGTCTGCATGATAGAGGAAGAATAGACTCACATGTGAACTGCTCTTTAGAAGCTTTATCAATCAGATGTTACCCCCAGCATCCTACACGTCAGGAGCCACATGACAAGGGATGAAGCTTTGAGTCATCTTTAATGTTTTTATAGATAAAAGATTTTCAAGTTAAACTTCAACATGTATGAAAATGTCTATAAAAATTAAAATGGAAAGACAGGGACTACATGAAGGAACAAGGTATTATCACAGTAAAAATGCAAATTAAATCAGGCTTCCATGAGCATGAACAGGGAGGCAGAGGTACTTTAACAGCATCACTTCACAGGATTAAACCCTGCCATTAAAGTCGGTAATGTGTCCCTGTGATAAACAGCCAGAAAATCAGAACCAAAGGGAAAAAAAATGTGAGTAAACGTTACAGAGCAACAGTTTGTTAGAGGCTCATACTTTGTGGAAACATCTCACTGGTTTGAGGTAAAACGCTGCACTTAACTCCTGAGATGCACAGAAAGCTTAGATCAGCAGCTATGACACTAAGAACCAGCTACTGGTCCAAATCCACTGATCTGCAGCAGCTCCACACCTCCAGGGTTCTATCTGCGTTTCTGCAAAACCATCACCAACAGCATTCAGTTTTCGGCCATTTCCACTGATGGTGAATATTCAGTGATTATTCAACAGTGTTTCTCTGGATTTAACATGTATCCATGTTTCTCAACAGTGACCCACTGGTTTACTAAAGCGGCAGGTGGGACCCAGGACCTGAACTGGTGCTACTTCATTTGACTTGCCTTCCTCCACAGTCCTGGACCCAGCCCCCAGTGCAGTGAAACCCAGAGATGCCCAGAAACCAGCAGTGGGGATCCTGGAGTAGATCAGATGTGTGTGTCGGTTGAGTTCAGCCCGGAGCAGCAGATGGTTCACTGACCGGCCATCAAACTAGATACACTTTAATACAGCTGAAGGATTGACAGCTTTTCCTTTCTACAACCAGCTCTATGTGCTATAGTTTGTCTTCATTACATACATTTAATCCCTTTTCTTTCCCTTCCATTGTAAAGCTAAATGTGTAGACTGGAGAAAACTGATGCAACATATTGGAAGTAAAAAGGTGACAAAGCGTCACAGGACATAAACGGGAAAGGGAAGAAGTACGTTTACCCAAATACTGGAGAAAATCAGTTTAGACTATTTACTGTGTTTCTGATACTCTACATCTTTATTCCAAAACACTTCAAGGGAACACAGTGTACTTGTACGGCATTGCATTTATCTGACAGCTACAGAACATAAAAAAAAACAGACACACTCTTCTACCACTACAATTATTTTAATTATAAAAATTAAAGAGAGAAGACAAGTTCAACCTGAAACATCATTTCTTCTGTCCACTGTGACGGGGGGCTGTACGTGTGAATTGTTTCATTATTAATAAAAACAAAAACAGCAATCAGGTTTAACTGTATTATTACCCTAGTAAATATTGCCGTTCATAAATGTGTACTTTTTCCTAGTATGTTGACTACTGGCCTTGTTGCCCTGGTGTCCTTTACTTCGGTCTGGTATCTGCAGACGTGCTCCACCTTCCCTGGCTGGTGTCTGCAGTCCCTGTTTCTTCTGCGTTTCATGGACGCCAGCGAGAACATCCGTGCAGCAGTGCTTCGCGGCTGCAGCAGTCCTGGCGCACTGACAGCGCCTTTTGGATGCAATTATGTGCTGAGAGGCCCCGTGAGGGCCCCATCCACCTCAGAGTGCTCCGTCAAGAGCCCGCTGACAGCTTGGAGCGCCGCCCTATGCCGCAGCTCTTCCATCCTGTTCCAGGACTCGATCCACAGCGGCCCAGAAACTCCCTCCAACCCCCCTCTTCAGTCTCCAGTCTGTCCCCCAGCCAAGCCTCAGCCCTGCTCCCTCCACACAGGCTCCAGATCCAGTTCTTTATGCGACACCTTCCTGCGGAGGCCTCTTCAGAGGAGCGAGGGGGGCGGGGTTCAGCTCCACCATCAGAACCCACACCTCACCACAGCCATCCTCCAGGACTAGATCCTGGTCTCTGCTGCCAGACCCTGGCTGGTTTCTGCTCCGTGCCAGACTCTGTGTCAAACCTCGGCCCACAACACTTTTAAAAAGTCGGTGGACGCTGTGCTGCTCGATCTGTGGCGAGGTGTGCGAGTGGCAGCTGAACCTGGATCTCAGAATACCTAGAGCTGGATTCACCGAAGACCACAGCCGCGCAACGCGACACGCACAGTATCTGTAGCGAGCGTTTAAAGGGAGCCGCTGCTCAGACCCACCGGAGTCGGCCCGCAGACCACGGAAAACCCGCAGGGAGGCGTTTATCTGCTCAGTAACACGCCAAGCAGCTGGGTTATATCCTACACACAAACAAGGAAAACCATTTCCCTGTGTCCAGTTGCCCTCCCTAAAAGGAAGGCAGGTTGAGCCTGTCCTTGTCTTCTAGGTTTAAACTGAAGCACCGGTGCGAGCCTCTGTCTGCGCGCACTTTGTTATAGAAAGACACACGGGAGATAAATACCATACTAGTTAATATGCAAAAACGAAAATTAATTTCAACTCAAATGAAATTTTTACATTACTATCAGGAGCCTTCACTCAAACTGGGCTTAAACAACTGGTCAAACTAAAGCTTCTTCTTCTTTGTCACCCCACACAAACGTCGGAGGGAGGCACACCGAGTGACACAATCTGACTAAATGTCTATGTCAATGTACAGAAAACTACAAGTGCTAATAAGTAACAGCAGGCTTTATACATTCTTAGTGCTTGTATTTCCAAAAGTATGTGAACATACTGTGAAGTATGACCGGGCATATTCAAGTATTCTGTAATTATACCCGACAAAACTACATGGTTGAACCACAGCAGGGCAATGGACATTAGAGAGTTTTCAGTTTGGAAGCAGGAGAAACGTCATCGCCATCAGGTTAACATGATCTGACAGAGGCATAGGGCTTGTGAACGGAGGGGTTTAAAGCCTTTCTCCTGCATTCAAGCATTTCTTCCAGGACATGTCGGCCGACTCGGTCCATTCCCCAAGTTTCTGGATTGCTTTGTGTGATGGAGCCAAACCTCTCATCGCAGTTATGTCATACAGTAACTGTGCACAGCAGTGTTTCTGGAGAGCTGTGTGCACGCTGGAGTGTGGAGGGGGTGACGGACGGCTGCCTACCGCCTCACTTAGAAAAGAAAATCAGATGGAAACTACAAGGCGTGCCACATTCTAACCAGAGGGCCCATTAAAAACATGGCAGCACACCGAGAGCATATGGTTGTGTCACATGAGGACAGCTCTGTCTCCTTCCTTCTCTTCCGTCTGTGTTTGTCCCACTGTGAACACACGGGCGAGCAGCAGATAACGTGGCAGCAGTAAAGCGCAAATGTGGAGCTGGAAGCTCACTCAGATAACAACACCTTTACTGCTCTTGTGTCCCAGGGATGGGCGTCCTCTCTGAAGCTGAAGGAAAACAGGGCCTCGCCTTCCTTTATAAATGGATCTTTCAACTGTTGCATTTTAAATAAATCCCCAGATAGCAGTTGACAGACCTTTGATGCTGATGGGAAGGGGAGGGGGTGTCCCTTTTATTTCTGTGGCTCCCTGTACAAAACTGGCCAAAATACATTTCAGCATCAGGTAGACATTTATTAAACATAGCCGTTTCCATATCAGGGTAATTAATCAACGGCTGGGGGCAAGTTTTTATGCTGTCTGTTAAACATCATTCAACAGGACCAGAAAAGAAAAACAAGTACAAGTATTCTACAGCCAGTTGAATAGTCAACGAATATATATTGCATTGTGATCTTCATGACATCATGCATCGAATCGAATCATGAAAATCACATCACCTCATCCCTAGTTATCCGAACTAAACCAGCGGTCTGACATTAGTTAAGACAATGCCAATTATACATTGGCATAACTATGCTAAGAGCAGTAGAGCATCATGACAGCGGGGCACATGGCTAATAAAATTAGTAAGGCACACTCGGTTAAGTACTCTAATGTGTTTAACTTGTGTTTAAAACAGTGGGGAAAACACAAACACTTTGGTAAATTAAAACGCTATCAGGACATAAAACTAGGCAAAGCTAGCACAGACCCAGCTAACATAAGACTGGCTGGGCTAGGGTTAGTGCCAATGCAAAAAAAGCCAACATAGAGCTAAACTACCAATCACTCCAGATCAGCCAAAAGGACACAAAGCTATAACAGCATGGCTAAACACCAAGGCAAATTGCATTAGCAGGCCAAAGAAAATCTGCTAAAATAATACGACTAAAATACTGCAAATCAGACATTTCCAAGTCTCCAAGTCAGGTGAGGATCGAGGACGTCCTAAAATTCTCGCCTAGTCTCGTTTCCTCGAGTTCTCCCTCCTTGCAGCTTACATAGGCGGAACATTGACTGTATAAAACATGGACCACAAGTCAATGCTCATGGACCCCCTGGTGGCTGGGTGAGGTATTGGTTATAAATCCCACCCAAGTTGCCCCCGATGGTTAGAGTCATTGGTATGAGTTGGTACCGCAGACGGCTGCCTCGGTTCTGTACCAGTAACACATTCCTTGTGCAACATACTTGGCCAAATAAAGGTGATTATCCTTATCATTATTAATAAAGTGGCATGTTTCAATTAATCCTGGCGGTTTGTTGCAGTCACTCCGCCTCTGGACGCTACTGTGTAGAATCTAGTTGCAAAAGAGCAAGACTGCTTCATTTTTGCATATTGGAGGAAGTGGTGATGCCATGTCCATATTTATGGACCCTCAAGAGACTTGGGCCGTACCCAGTGTGTTATGAGCGTGACTACTACTGCAGTCCAACGTTAGCTGAGAGACCAGCATTTGTGAGATTCGGAGAACAGGACTTGTATTAAGAAATGGCAGCAGATGCGGACCAAGCTTCACTTTACACTGAAATGTTAAAGACTGTGAAAATGTTAATGAAGCTGACCAAGCGTCGGAGCAGAACAGCAGCTGCACCAGGCATCAGGAGGAAACCTGCCGCCGACAGGTTTCCTCACCTCTGTTTCAGTGCTTGGTGCTGGGGGAGATGCAGCTAGTCAGAGCTCTGCAGAGCCGCAGACTGAAACCAGCCGCACTCTTCAAGCGTGAAATTAATATTGCTGTTTTTTGTTGATAATCCAACAGTTTGGGGCAAAAAAAGCCCCAAACCAAACTGCTTTTCCTCAACTTTTATACACTTCTTCTGTTACCAAAGAAATGAAACACCACAAACCGGCGCCAAGTCCTTTTTATTGAAATGGTCAGGCTGCTCACATACAGACAGGCAGTGTTGGACCGAGTGTGATGAGGATATTGTAAAATGGCAATCACTTTTACTGGCCAAGTTTGTCACACATACGCGCACACACACTGATGGCGGTGCAGTCCGTGCAGGGTGCTGACCTGCTCTATCAGGGACAACGCGGCGTCCGGTGTCTTGCCCAAGGACACTTCGACATGCGGACCTGGGAGAACGGGAATTGAACCGCTGACAGTTCTGCCTCCTGAGCCACAACTCTTCCCTGGCGGCCACTTAAATACATCCTTAACTGCGTTTAATTCAGTGTCACAGTGATGGTTGTCAGTACGTGCATGAGGACACTGCACACAGGAGCTGCTCGTCTTGCTTCTGCTAGTGGAGACACGGACTACACCTGAACTGGCAGCATGAAGCTGTGAATCACTGCTAACTTGCTGCCTTCATCACACATCTGCTCAGATAAGGTTTAATATACTGATATTTAGGCCATGCCTCTGCATGGAGAGACAAATATGTCTAAATTTCATCAGTGTACACTCATTCAGTTACCATACAGCTTTACATCTCATCTTTTTTTTTCTACTTTTATTTTAAATATTACAATTTGAGTTTTTACTTTATCCATATCTAATATTTGACTTTATCCCAGTCTATTTTTACACTTAGTATCTAAAACGGTTGACTGTCAAACATTTTTTTCTTTAAATCAAATATGGGATGCAAACCCAGCACAAAGACACTGAAATGACTACAGCTGAGTGGGCTGCTTTCTGCCCATCACTGAGTTTGTGTTCTCTGTGTATCTGAAGCGGAGTCTGGTGAGCAGGTTGGAGCTCGAGGTCCCCCTTTACAGGTTCAGCTCCTGCAGCTGCAGAGAAACATCTCCAGCCTTGACATGAAGAAACAAACTGCTGTGTTTTTCTGTGTGGCCCCAGGCCAGAGAATAAAATGCTCTAATTGGAGCAGAAAACGAGTGTCACTACAGCGATGCATGACAGCACAGATGCACCGAGACGAGACTGAGAATCTGACACGACCGCTGAAAGACCGAGCACACTTCGACCTACATCACCTCCGACAGTCCCTGCAGTGCTGCTGCCGGACGCAGAATCACAGTGAGACACACATTCACAGTCGACAACCTGAAGGTGTCACACAGTAAATGCATGTATTAGCAGGCCAATGAAACACCAACGCCTGTGTTTTATATACTCTGCAAAACAACATTTGAGCAGTGTGCTGCTCCGGAGGCTTTTTATGTCGACCGTGACCTGAACCACTGCCTTTTTACAAAAGCCATTTATTTTACTTTAACTGTTTCACAAATCAAGGTGGAAACATGGTAGAAACTGAATTGAAAATGTAAAGGTTAGGCTCTTTTCCCTGAAATGGATTCATGTTTCAGAATAGACTCAGGTTCCCACTATATGTTGTCATTTTACTCTCATCACTTTCTTACGCTTCGTTTTCTTGGCAGAAATGGGCCTCCATTAAATCAGTTACTTCCTGATCAGATGGAGATTTAAATCAAAAACATTTAAATAATGTTCAAATTTATATAAAAAAACAAAAAAAACACAAAAGATTTTTTCCCAGCCAAACCAGAGAAAAACTCCCAGGTTTCTTCTGTTGCTTGGATCAACAGATCTTTTTTGGGAGTGTATGCAGATATGTAGTTTCAGAAGTGTATGGTGTCCTGACGCCCCAGTGCTACCAAACGTCTGTGGGTACACAATAATTTGTTCCAGGCCTGAACCAGGCAGCCCAGGTGGGGCTGCAGACTGGGCCCAGCGCCTGGCTGCCACTCAGCTGGTGTGGTGAAGAACAGAAACACAACAAAGGATAAAAATGGATCCAGGCAGACATATGAGGTGGCACCGCCTGTGGGAACATGAAAGCTTTTACACATTAACCCTGCCCAACCACACACTGAAAAGAGAGTTCTCCTCCAGCTGGAAGAGACGGGCACATTTACAGGTCCAGACTTGACGTCTCCAGCCTGGCAGACGGGCTTTGATTTGGAGCTCCGCGGTGCCGGAGCTGCTCGGCCTGGACGTCATCACTGCATCTTTGTAGGGCTTTGAGTCAGGCCTTGTGACCGTTCAACAGTAACAGACCCAGGTGTCAGCGCCCCAGTCCACGGTGCATTCAGTGACCACCATCTGCCAGCAGTGTCTCAAAACGCTGCTTTAGAGAGGCCCAGGAGAAGGAGGAGGTGTCGACCTGGGAACAGAGGAACTGCATCTGAATATACACCATTATGAATTGTAAACAGCTTAAAGGAACAGTGCAACACATTGGGAAACGCGTGTTAAAGGACAAGGCCAATCATTTTCTGTATCAACAGTCCCCATGCAGAGACTTAAACCAATGACGATCTCCTCTACTCACAGTGAGTGCCTGTCAGTCCCGGAGCAGATTACTGGCCTGTGCCACTGACCTCCATTGTTGTTTAAAAACAAGAGCACATCAGGGAAACACACTGCTGTTTCCTCATTACAAAACACCAGGCCCTGATATCAGTTAAAAATGTTGCCCAAGGCTGTGAGGAAAGCAAGGACCCTGTTGCATTATGGGAACTGTAAGACATGGCGCTTCTGAGATACAATCCGATGTGGATTTAAATTGCCGTTACCTTGCTGATGTGTGTGCGGGCGACATCAGGTCTCCTGCAGAGTTGCTTCAGACGCTTACACAGCTGCTCAGGTGTGGAGTACAGGTACTCTGCTGCAACAAAAACACCAGAGAAGACAGATGCTACGTTATGTGCTACCAGAGTCACTGCTTCTTAAGTAAATCTGCCTGAAGGAGGGGTCTGAACATGGCATCTCTAAACACCTACCAGTGTGTTTTATTACCTGGGAATATTTCAGGATACACTAAAGCCTTAGGACACAGAGGGTAACAGCCACAGTGAACCGCCTCCAACCTGTTAAACAAATATTAATAATAATCTATTTATATAGCACTCTACAACTAAGGAGCCCAGAGTGCTGCACAGTAAAACAAATATACCAGGTGGAAACCATGCTAAAACAATCAAATCTAAATACATTAAAACACAGATTTCTAAAACTGAATTATAAAAGTATCATGCCAAAGTAGAAGTAACATAGCACAACAAGATAAAACAACGTTAACAGGGGATGTGAGAGCGGATTAAGCATAAAAAGCCTACTTAAAGAAATGGGTTTTTAAAGCCGACTTGAAATCTGCTAACTCAGTCTTAGAGCGTACCTCTAGAGGAAGGGAATTCCAGAGGCTGGGGCCATATACAGCAAAAGAACGGTCGCCCCATTTTTTAAATATCGAGCTGGCAGGACAACCAGGAACAACTGTTCTGAGGAGCGAATGGCTCTATGAC